TAGATCTAATTTCCTCATATTATTTAGCATTTTGTAATATGAGATATTAGAAAAATCCTCAAATTTCTAGAACTCTCTTCTAGTTTATTTCAAAATAACTCGAAGAACTGTCAATGTAGATAATGAATTACAATGTAGATTATTAATTACTTCAATTATAATTAAAATACATAAAATACCTTAAATAAAAATTATTTGTATGAAAATAGTCTACATAGCAGTGAAATATACTGTCTTTGAGTGGATTATCACTAGTTTTTTATTCTTCTGGACATATATACAACTTCTGCTTTAGAGGAATTCTTCTTCCTCAAATGTTAATTGCCTGCAACTTATTTCATTGATGGATATTTAAGAAGTGATACTGTCTGGCGTTGAAGGCGAGATCATAAGAAGTCTTGAAACTTCTCTTTGGATCATTTTAGGGGCAATAGCCACAACATAAAATGTTTCAAAACCCCCAAACAGGAAGACAGACACAGAAGGAGGAAAAGAGGGAGGGAGAGACAGAAAAGAGAGAAAGAGACAGAGACTATTGTCTCTTGGATGTCCCCAACAACTCAGCCCAAATCCCAGAATGTTTGAAAAGTCTGCATTCCAAGCCCAGCCCTGGAGGCCAACGGACCAGTGCCTGCTGAGGGCCCCAGTGGACATATAACCCCTTCAAACCCCAGACATGTGAATGACAGTCCTGAACTGTATTTTTAAACCACCTAAATGTTAAGGTAGATAGTTGCATATATATAGGTAATAAGCAATAATTTCAAAGAACAAAAGCTAAACAACAGTGATCGAAATTTCTGCCTGGAGAACTTGAGAACAATGAAACAATCTGGTAGAAAGTAGAAGGAGGGTGATATAAAGATCACAGCACAAATAAATGAAGTAGAAAATGTACTATACTGAAAATTCAATATAGCAGTTCTTTTCTTGGAAAAGTCAAAAACATGTAGGTAATAGATGATGATGATGTGATGGTATGGATAATAGCCAGACAGATGGATAGATGATAAATACAATTGACATATGCCAATTCAGCATGAAGAAGAAAAAGAAGGCACATATTTTGAATTTCAGGAATAAGAGTTAATTTCAAGAAGAGAACTTAACTACAAAATAGAGAGACATTTAAAAATAGCATGAAAATGCCGTGAATAACTTAATATATTTGAGCATTTACACAATATGGAAAATTACCTCGAAGCACATAATGTCTTCAGTACAGTGAAATGCAAAATGTTCATATATTTGATAAGTGAATTAGTAAGTCTGTATCTGTTTAGCTAACAGAACACAAACACAGACACACAATTTCGGGTGTTAGATGAACTTGTTGGAACACTTAAGTAGGGAATTACATTCATCTTAATCAGATTACTTCCTACGAAGGAAAGAAAAGAAGAAAATCTTCCACCTTGTTTTTTGTTTACAGTCCAACTTGGGTTCCAATATCCAGAAAGAATATTACAAAATGGGAAAGGCACATGTAAATCCCTCATGAAAATGATCATATAATCCCCATTAAAAATAGTGTGTCATCAATGGAATTCTATGCCTCCATCAGAAAGAATGACATTGCCCCATTTGTTAGGAAATGGAAAAACTTGGAAAAAATTATATTAAGTGAAGTAAG